GTGTGTGTGTGTGTGTGTGTGTGTGTGTGTGTGTGTGTGAGAGAGAGAGTGGGAGAGAGAGAGGGCATGTGAGTTCATGATATCTTCTGGGTGTGACGGAGAATGAGATTAATCCAGTACTCAGAGAGAGAGAGAGTGAGGTCATGATATCTTCTGGGGGTGAGGGAGAGTGAGAAGAAACAGGGATGGGCTATGTGCTCCCTTAATGCAATACTGATTGTCTTCTATTTTTTCTGTTTTGAGTGTATGGAGAAGGAAGATAGGGTGACACCTGTTGATTTGGTGTATTTTGTTTTCCCTGTAGGTTTGAAATCCCAGAAGATACGGAACTTGGGCTTTCTGTGGCTTCATGTGTGGTCACCAGGTGAGAACGATGAACTTTTCCTCTTTTCCTCAAGGTCTAAATTCTATGTCAATTTCAAAGGGTATCTGACTTTACGGAACCTCAGTGGGGTTGCCATGGAGGAAGAGGACATGGAGACATCCCTGGACCCCATTTCACTCACAACTGCTTTGATCCTTTTGACGGTATTTTCGGGCAAAGCTAAGATCTCAAATTGATAAGTTGATTTAGACCAGAAGAAAAGAAGAATTAAGAAAGACAAGAAAAAAGAAAGACAGAAGAAGGAGAAGAAGAAGAAAGAAAACAGTGGCCGTAGACTGCTTCTTGCACATTCAAGATGAAGAAGAAGAAGAAGAAAAAGAAGAAGAAGAAGAAGAAGAAGAAAACAGTGGTTGTAGACTGTTTCTTGCGATTTCAAGAAGAAGAAAAAGAAAAGAAAAAGAAAACAGTGGCCAGAAGAAGAAAACAGTGGCCTTAGACTGCTTCTTGCACATTCAAGAAGAAGAAAACAGTGGCCGTAGACTGGTTCTTGCACATTCAAGAAGAAGAAGAAGAAAAGTGGCCGGAGACTGGTTCTTGCACATTCAACAAAAGAGACAGAAGAAGAGTGAACATGCAACAACAGAGACAGAAGAAGAGTGAAAACAGTGGCGATAGACTGCTTCTTGCACCTGCAGCAACAGTGTACAGTTCTCAGTAGTAATAGTTGTAGGAGATTCGTCTTCCCTCACCTCCATAGCCTAGCCTGAGGCCCTTCTTTCTCCTACTCCATAGGCATGGAGGTCGTCTTCCTCACCCTCAGCTTGTCTGCCATCTCACCCCAGAGTTCCGCTTTACTCTCCGCTGGGGCGGCTCAGCGGCATAACTGGGGCCTGAATGAACGGGCTACTTGTTGCAGGGAATGATATACTCAGGACACTTTGTGTGGTATCCAGTATGCCTGTCTGGGTGCTTTCAGTCTTTACGGGCACATGCTAGGGACCTAACAGATGCTCCCCCTTTGGGTGGGAACATGTGCAGTCTGCAATCCTCCCAGCGGGCCTGAATCTAACTCACTATGTCTACATTTGGGCCCTGGACCATCAGGACCTAGTGGAAAACCACCTGACTGTCTAGGGCTACGGAGTTGCTGAAATATGCATACCAGGTCCCAATCAAATTCCACCTTTGCCCCAGTCTGAACAATGATTGCCATCTACCCCTTGCGGGACACAAACACATGTGATTGAGTTAGCGCACTGGCACAGACACGGACACTTGGCAAGCATCAGATAGGCTCTCGTGCACAGGCACCACATCAAACGGACACTGACTAGGAAACCACAGCAAATCAGCGCCACAGACAATACTTCTCAGAAATATGTACAGACTGCAACTGTACTGGTCATTGCCGAACCTGACACTAAAGAATGGATAAACGAAAATCATGTGAGAATGTACAGCCTTTCTTTCTTGCCTAATTTTTCTCCTTTCAGCAAGTCCGCCTTATGGAAGGGCCATCAAAAGAGAGAGAGAGAGAGAGAGAGAGAGAGAGAGAGAGAGAGAGAGAGAGAGAGAGAGAGAGAGATCTGTTTTACCAATGGAATGGTAGTACCAGTTTGTCTAACATGAAAGTATTTTGGAGACGGGTTTTTGTTTTTGTGTTGTTTTCATTTTTTGTCATTTTTCCAGCTCATTGCTGACTCTATATATGGCTTTCCTTTCGGTCATTTTCTGCTGGTTTTGTGCAACACAATGCGCAGGGCGGAAGTCGGTGTGGGTGAGAATGGCAAACCAGAAGTGGTTATCAGACCGTAAGTATCATTGTCATCAGTGAAATGTCGTTTCCTTCGCTATGACAACTACTGTTTTTCTTATTTGGATACTAACAGCCGATTGTTGTCCTTTTAAGGGGACTGTGTGGAGTCTTTTTTGTTTCTTTTGTTTTCTTTTTCCTTTTCTTTACCTTTCAAAAGTTCGTACCATTTCTTTTTCGTACTATTTATGCATGTTGTGTGAAGGGGCCATGCCAATCTTCTGTATTGTTCCAATTTTAAGGGATGAATGAGTGTAAGGAGTCTTTCCCTCCGTGTGGCAGTTACCTGTTCATTCATACATATTGAGGATTGGCTTCTAATCAGAAAAAAGAACTAGGAAAAGAAATGCTTTTCGTTGAATATATGACGATGTCATGGGGGACCCCTATTTGTTCATCATAAGGTTGCTGTTTTTGGGGCACACAAGCTCTATTCTGAATCGTGACCTTTAATATATTTCTACTGAGCTTTCACTGGTTTTGCGGTGGAGGTGTCTTCCCGAGCGCTTGGCCAACATTCACTGACTTTTTACTTTTTTTTATTTGTAGGCTTCTTTGTGGTGCCTAATTTGTTCTGGGCTTTGGCAAGATTTGGATATTTTGTGGAAGTGTTGGGCATGATGTACTTAGAGACCGAAGAGTAACTGTCAAGTCGGAGTTATCCTAATTTACCGCCTTCACCCGAATAGAATGCCTGGTCATTATAGCTGTATTTGGCACAACTTCAGTCCAGATGCAGGGATAATGACTGGGCTTTCTATTTGGCTGAAGACGGTAGGGTGACCATCAGGTTCCAGTGTACCTATGGTGGATTAGCTTGTGAATTGTGATTCTGTCAGGGCTCTGAATATCTGCTTTAGATGAAGTTGTGGGTATCTGGTGCGAACACAGGTGTTGAAGATGGTGATGATTTCAATGACAACAGCCTGACAAGTTCATGTGGAAACAATGCAGGTATACTCCGGTATCCGACCCAGCCCAGAAGGGCTTTTTCGAGTTGCTTATCAAGGTATGATTCTGTCATCCAGCGGTCAGCTTTAACTTGTCCTGTAGTCGTTTTGAAGCGCCCTTTGTGCTTTCATGCGTGTTCCTGGAGGGTGGTTCGAAGTTGTCTGCACATTGTGTGTGTGTGTGTGTGTGTGTGCGTGCCTGCGTGCGTGTGTGTGTGTGCACGTGTCATGTCTGTCTGCACCTGTGCACTAGTCTCTGTGAGTGTGCTTGCATGCACTTTCGTGCCTACTGTGGGGAGCATCAGGTGTGTGAGTTTGTCTGCAGAGCATAGCAAGCTTTTGCCCGTTTATTGGGGAAAGGGTCCAGAAGATCTGGCTGGGAAGGGAGGTGTTGTCGGTCCAGAGTCCCCGATATGAAAATGTTCTTACTGTGCTCTGAGCAAACGTTTTGTGGCTCCTGTCATCTGAGGCCGATTCTGTTGGTCTTGATCCTAAAATGCCCAATCCAAAAGTAAGAGCACGATTTAGATGTCAAAACATTTTGTAACATGTGGTGTGCTGCAGGCAGAAAATTTGGTTATGGTCTGTCGTTTGTGTTGGGGGTTAACAGTCCGCTTGGAGTCTGGTTGGGTCCAGTTGGACTGGGTAAAGATGCAGTCTCAAAATAGTGATTTCCATGGTGGTGTGCAGATGGGGATGTTGGATTTATTTGGGGTTGCCAGGCTGAATTTATCATTCATAGTCAAATTCGCAGTGTGCTATGGGGTAGTTTCATTGTATTGCTGGTATATGTGGAGGTGGTGTTTTCAATGTACTGGGTTGCCTGCTTCTAGTCCAATACACGATCGATGGGGGAAATCTGCTTCAGCAGAAAATGCCCTGTTGTTCACTGGTGTACACAGACACTTTTACTGTGCTGTACAATTGGAAAATCCGCTTCAGGAGAAAATGCCGTGTTGTGTCGTGTGCATGTTGTGATTTGAATGTGAGTGGCGGCGTTTCACTTCGGTAGTGCCATGATGCGTCATAAGTTGAAACAGGATGTTGTTTCTGCTTCAGTAGAACCGTAATGCTGCGCCATTCTGTGGAACAGCAAAGCGATGCTCATGTGGTATTTGTGAAGGCTCAATGAAAGGGAGTGGGAGTGGAAAGATCCAATAATGTTGTTTCGCAAGATTTGCGAGTATGCAGCGATTGAAATGGTGGTGGACTGGCTGTCTACAAAAGTGCAGTGCAGTTGAATTCAGCGGTCGTTGGCTGTCCTAACTCTCAGTGATCTGGTGGAGGGCATGCCAGAATGGCTGCCATAGCTTTAAATTGCATGGCTTTGGCTGAGTACTGTGAGCAACACGCTTCGCTCATTGGACAATGAATTCTTGAAATGTGAATTATGTTGGTGTATGTTTGATACATTTGTGATGTCATTGTGCACCTAGGCTACCAGCTGGGCCGCCCGGGTCACCTTGTTTGCCCGGGCTACCCGGCCTTGAGAAGACCAAATGTGTTCCCAGAAGAAGGAAAAAAAAAACCAAAAAGTCTGAAAAAAACAATGGTATGTAGAAAAAAAAGTGAACAACTTTTAACGAATTTCTTTACCGAATTTGAAATAAAAAATAAAATAATTAAAATTGTTTTTTATTTTTATTTTTAGGTCTGGCCAGGGAAGTGGTCTTGGGCCACTCTGGAAGGCTAGTCTGTTATGGTCTCATGCACCCGATTCTCTCCGTGGTTTGTTTGTGGTTCAGGTGTATCCGAATGGGAAAATGACGCAGCATATGAATAACCTTGTCCCCGGAGATACACTTGATGTCAAGGGGTGAGTTTCTGATTGTCCTGGGGATGGCGTGGTTGGTGGATCATATCCATTGGAAGCGCTCATTCAACCATCCAATCTCTGGGTTTGTTTTTTGAACTCCATGCGCCTTGGCTTGTCCACTGCAGCAGCTAGGATGTGTATGTGTGKGGGGGGTGTGGGTAGAGGGTCTGATGTTGTATGTGTTGCTGCTTATTGTGTAGGTAAAGTTTTTTTTGCGGGGGACCTATGCCCGCATTGGGAAATGGGAGAACGTCTCCCTTGCTCCCTCACTCGCCCCTACACTCACTGCCTTGCTCGCTCTCTGCCTCCCTCGCTTCCTCCCTCTCCCTTTTGTTCCCCATCTGTCTGGCCTTTCCCCTCCCTCCCTGGCCCTGCTGCCCCCCTGCCTCCCTCCCACCCTCCCTTCCTCACATACTCCTGACAGGGATGGTTTGAGAAGTGGCATTTTGGGTACCTCCAATCCATGGGTAAATGCTTTCATGTTTTAGATGAGATGGTGGTGTTAAGAAACGACAGATGTCAGGTTGTATGTCGCTTTCACAGAGACGAAGTTGCACTGCTTGAAACAGTCTATTCTTATTTTCCTTGCACTAACGATGTGCTTTTCTGTTTCTGTTGATCCACTGAGCAGACCAATTACCAAGATCCCCTACACAGCAAACATGAAGAAGCGAATTGGCATGGTATGTATCCATCTTGACGAAGCCTCTGGGCGTTTCGACAGTTCTTTGCATGTGTGTGTGTGTGTGTGTGTGTGTGTGTGTGTGTGTGTGTGTGTGTGAGAGAGAGAGAGAGGTGGTTGATGATGTCCTGCCTTGTTTATGGTCCACGAGTGTTAATATGGGGTGTTCCTGAAGGCCATGAGAATTGAGTGTGCACAATTTGCATACCGTGACCATGGAAAATCTGACAGTCGATTTGCTTTGATTAAGTTGCCTCTTTAGGAAGGAGGAAGGCAATCAATGAATATTCCCTCCAGTGTGAGGTCTACCTGAACAAATCCGCAGCTAGGTTGAAAGTTGAGACCTCTACTCGATGAAAATGGTTGTTTTTCCTACCAGGACGATTGTTTCCGTGCACAAACCGTACCTCGTTAATTTTGTGCTTTTTGAGATACATGCATGAACCCACAGCCCCACCTGGGAAAAGTGGATTTTTAAGCGATGTGGCTGTTAGTGCGCGGGGAGTCCTCCGGGGTAATGCCTACCTCCCTGAACCCACAGCCCCACCGGAATGGTCTTCTCAAAGTTCCTTAGAATCCTTCCTCGTTCTAAGATTAAATATTAAGGAAACAGAGCTAAGATATACTCCTACACCCATGAAAAGTTAAAACCCTTCTATACCTGCCAAAGCCCTCTGCTTGACTCATCACCGAGGCANGCTCTAAGGAAACAGAGCTAAGATATACTCCTACACCCATGAGAAGTTAAAACCCTTCTATACCTGCCAAAGCCCTCTGCTTGACTCATCACCGACTTGGAAGGCAAGGCTAGATTCCGACTGCTCTGGCTATGCCAGCCGGCCTGCCCAGCCTCGGCTGGGTGACTGCCTTCATGTACTACTCTATAAATGTTCATTCAGAATTGAAAATGTTACCTCTGAAAATCCATTGTCCTCCGCCTTCGGTGCCCCCCCGCCCCCCCTCCCCATGATTTAAAATTTCAATGCATATATTAATGAAATAAGAGAATACATAAATGTCTGAAAATGTGGTTGTTTTGTGTTGTTGCAGATTTGTGGTGGTAGTGGTATTACGCCCATGTTTCAGGTTCTTGACCGCATTGCAAAAACCCCTGAGGATACGACTCAGSTATGAGAGGACATCCCGTTCTCCTTTTTTAAGTTATTTTTTCTTATTACCTCTCCCCTTCATTTTACAATACAAGGGAAGGTGACTGACTGGAGTATTTGAGAGTTGTTTGGCAGGTTTGATGCTGTAATGATATTCTCGGTCTGTCAGGGAAGGAGGGGGAACGGGTAATGCATGCCCCTACAGTGTGATATGCAGGAGTGGATGGAGAGGGTGTGAACAGGGCTCGGTTTCCGTGAGCCAGCGATTTAAACGAGGAAAGGGGGGTTAGAGTTGGTAGGTAGGGTATGCAAAAAGCAAATGTGAGTCTCCATTTTGTTGGGGCCTTCCTGGGATTTTTCGTCTATTTACCATACTTGCAAGCGCACTTGGTGCGGGCGGTTCCCTATGTGCGGCACAGGTGCCCAACCGATCCCGTGCGGTGCATGACATATGAGGGGAATGATCCGTCACCCCACCAGAGAAAAGTAGGTCGGGCCGAAATGGTGCGTTGGAGGGCCCCCGCCAAAATTATCAGCAAGATGAAAAAAAAAATTACAGGAGTTCTGCCTCACCTTGGTCCTTCTCCCCTTCCTCATCCCATGTCTCCTCCTCCCTTCTCCTTTTCATCTCCTCCGACTCGTCCTTCTGTTTGTCCTCCTCCTCCTGCCCTTCCTCATCCTCCTTGTCCCCTCCTCCTCGTACTTCCTCATCTTCCGTGCCTCCTCGTGTCCTTCCCTTCTCGTGTCCTCCTCTTCCTTGTGTCATCCCCTTCGTCGCTGTCCATGTCTCCTCCTCCTCCTGCCCTTCCTCATCCTCCTTGTCCCCTCCTCCTCGTACTTCCTCATCTTCCGTGCCTCCTCGTGTCCTTCCCTTCTCGTGTCCTCCTCTTCCTTGTGTCATCCCCTTCGTCGCTGTCCATGTCTCCTCCTCCTCCTGCCCTTCCTCATCCTCCTTGTCCCCTCCTCCTCGTACTTCCTCATCTTCCGTGCCTCCTCGTGTCCTTCCCTTCTCGTGTCCTCCTCTTCCTTGTGTCATCCCCTTCGTCGCTGTCCATGTCTCCTCCTCCTCCTGCCCTTCCTCTTTTCCCTCCGTCCATCTCTTCTCCTCCCCCCATCTCGACGACTCCTCGTCGTCCTCGCTATCCTTGTCGTCCTCCTCCTCTCCATATCCCCCTCTCCTCGCCATATCCCCATCTTCCTGTCATACGCCCCCACGTTCCCCCTCCCAGAAAAAGATAAAATAAATTAATATAATAATAATAGAAATAAAAAACCTGCACGGTTCTGCACGGTTCCGCACAGGCACCCCCCACATGGAACTCCGCACGAATGTGCGGCTCGTGCGGTTGCAAGTATGCTGTTTACCATGGAAAAGAAGGGGGTGTTTCAGTGATTAGTCAGGCACCTACCCAACGGTTCACACATGCTGGAATCCTAGTGGGCCCAAGATTCTCGGAGCAGGAAACCAGTATGATCTGTAGGCCCTCCTTGAAGATAGGCATAGACCATCCTGTAGGCTCTTAGGTAGGAGGAGATGAAGTTGTAATTATTTTCTGATTTTTTGCAGTTGTGTGGGTTCACACATGCTGGAATCCTAGTGGGCCCAAGATTCTCGGAGTAGGAAACCAGTATGATCTGTAGGCCCTCCTTGAAGATAGGCATAGACCATCCTGTAGGCTCTTAGGTTGGAGGAGATGAAGTTGTAATTATTTTCTGATTTTCTGCAGTTGTGTGGTTGTAGGTTCCTGGTCGTGCCATTGGCTGCTTTTTGTAGTTTGTTTGTTTGTTTTGGGCTCATCATGCAGGGAGTTCTTTTTTTTCTCTCACTATGAGAGGGGTGGGCCAAGGGTTGTCGATTTTAGCACCGCCCTGAAACTGTTCAGAATCTTCGTTACGCCTTGATTGTGGATTTGTGATTCATTGATGGTCTTAAAGTCTTAAGGTTTGATGTACCAATCGAGATCTTTGATAGGTGAGACTTCCTTGATTGTACGTTTATGAATTGATGGATGGTTGAGTTCTGGTCTGAAGTGTGTTTTTTAACTTCCCTTTCAAGAAGTCCAATCACGTTTTTGAAAGAGGATTGAACAAAGGATTCAATCAAAGTTTGATGTGAATGCAATCATGGACACTGGTAGGTGGTGCTTCAGAATGGAGCTGTGTATGGTTGGCCTCCGATGCTCTAACATGAACCGGATTACGTATATTGCTTTTTGTTAAGCAATGTCACTCTGTTGTTTGCAAATATGTCAGCCAGTGATATCTTGCACCGGAAAGAGTTTGATTGAATCTCCTTTTTGCATTTGGAGCTGGTTACGATTGTTCTCTTAGGTTCTATCGGGAACCACATTGTGTGTGTATCGTGTTTGGTTTCACATTTTCACTCTGGCATTTTTAAATGTGTTGGATGTTTGATATCTTGCTCCGGAAGGAGCTTGATGGTATGTCCTTTTTGCACCCGAATTAAGTTCAGAATGGAGCTTATGAAGGTACTCGACGCTCTATCGTGTACCAAATTGTGTGTTGTACTGTGTTTGGTTTCTCAAGGTGTCTCTGGTGTTTGCAAACGTGTCGGAAAGTGATATTCTGCTCCGGAAAGAGCTCGATTGCCTCTCCTTTTCACATCCGAATGTTAAGGTCAGTATACATTTCTGTACTCTGGAGATTTGTATTGTAGTAATACTTTACAGATCCTATGTAACTACAAGTAGCAAAGATTGCAAAACTCTTTTTTCGTATGTGATAATTTATAATTACAAAACTGCCTCTGTGCGTCACAAGTGTCGTGCAACTGTCTGGCCATTCTTGTAGCGGTTCTGATCCCTGTGATGCCTATGGATCAATCATCTACTGTCTTTGTTCGCCGATGTGTACTTTCTCTTTGTAGCTGTGACAGGCACGGGTGTGGCATAACAACTGAGACGAACCAGTGGTCCCCATGCGGGTGATAAGTTTGAATCATGGTGGAATCAGATGCAAACAGTGTTGCACCGCCCAACAGTCGGCGGCCCATGATTGGTTGGCTGCCGACCTGATCGGCTGGTCGGCACCTACCGGTTGGGGAATCTCGGCACCTCCGAAAAAATAAAAAAAATAAAAAAAATAAAATAAAATGGGTCAGAATCCCCTAATAACACCACCAACACCCACATAGAGTCGCCCAATGCCC